AAACACTGGCACACAATCACTAATGCATACATACTCACTGACATACACTGGCACACATACATACACACTAAGACCCATATAAACACACTGGCACACATTGATCCAGGCTGACACACACAGTGACCCATGCAAACACTGGTGCACACACAAACATACACTCATTAAAAAACACTGGCACACATTGATCCATGCTGACACACACATTGATCCATCCTGACACACGCAATCACCAATACCACACAACAACCAACACTGGCACAGTGATCCACACTGACACTACTCCTGAGCAACATTCACAGCTCACTGGGCTTGCTGCTCGCCAGTGGAAACACAGTAAAGTGCTAAGACAGGTGAGAGGGGACCTTCTATATAAGTAAATAGTCGACCCGGCTGATTTCTTAAAGCTACAGAAGTGGCAAAATGCTGCTCCTTTCAAAGTGCTGCCTTGAGCCGTTGCCCCACTGGGACCAATGGACGGGCCAGCCCTAGCTACCAGTGACTGTAACAGGTAAAATTATGCAATCATTCATTTTAAATGGACACTATAGGTACCAGAAGCAATGAAACTTAATGTAAATGTTAATGAAAATAGCCTGTCCATAGAGCCTAAGGAGTTTTCTGGAAAAAAAAGGCTGTGTTTACACTGCTGTCTGAAGCCACCTCTATAGGCTGTCATTTGGACAGCCACTAGACGGACTTCCTGAGTTTGATCCCGCAAAGACTGCAAAACTGACGTTCAGCATCTACACTCTCTGCATGATCATGGAGGCGCTAAAGTGATACTGATTGGTGCTGCATACTGATTTGCTATGAGTGCTGAGTAGTCTCCCAATGCTTCCTGGTGAGGAAGTGTGAGGCAGGGTTTTTTCTTTGGAGGGGTGGGTGGATATTTAAAGTATGACACTACAGAATTTGGAATACACGCTTGTATTCCTAATACTAAAGTGTTCCTTTAAGAATGTTCTAGTATGGGAGACAAAGCAAAATGTCTATATTACCTTGTTTATAGTAAGTGACAAAAGAAAGAGACACTGGCCCTGTCACAAGGACATAGAGTTAAGTCCCTTACCTACTCCTTGCCACCAGTTTCACCCTTGGCGTGCTCCATGCTATGCTGTGGCTGTCCATGCTTCCAGGATCTGAGTTCTGGCCTCACTCTCTGCAATAACTATGTGCTAGGATGAAGCTGTTCTGTAATATATTTATATATATTTATTTATTTTATATATACAATAAGTGGTAGCTTACCAGAAATATAATAATAATAGCCTGGGTGCTAATCCATTTGCGTCCAAAATATAGAAGAAATATTGATCCATGATGCACAATGTGATTTATTAAAAAAAGTTACATACAGCAAATAAATTTCAACCCTGCCGGGTCTTTTTCAAGATCACTGCATGTAAGAAAATCGTGTTTATATATCAAATACAAAATCAAACTTACCAATCATTGTGGGAACTCTGACTACCATCAACATGAGCCACCACTGGACCCCGGGGAAAGTCACCCTCCTGCACCTAAAAGGTAGGAAACAGGAGGGTGACTTAAATATTATGTGTGTGTGTGTGTGTGTTTGTATGAATGTGTCTGTGTCTATCTGTCTGTATGTATGTGTGTCTTGTGTGTGTGTCTGTGTCTATCTGTTTGTATGTATGTGTGCCTGTCTGTTTTTATGTATGTATGTGTCTTTGTGTGTCTGTCTGTATGTGTGTATGTGTGTGCCTGTCTGTCTGTATGTATGTATGTGTGCCTGTCTGTCTGTTTGTATGTATGTATGTGTGTCTTGTCTGTATGTATGTGTCTTTGTATGTATGTTTGTTGTGTGTGTGTGTGTGTGTGTGTCTGTCTGTCTGTATGTTTGTATGTGTGTGTGCCTGTCTGTTTTTATGTATGTGTCTCTGTATGTATGTGTGTCTTGTGTGTGTGTCTGTCTGTCTGTGTCTGGCTGTATGTATGTGTGCCTGTCTGTCTGTTTGTATGTATGTGTTTCTTGTCTGTATGTATGTGTGCCTGTCTGTCTCTTTGTATGTATGTGTCTTTTTATGTATGTGTCGTGTGTGTTTGTATGTGTCTGTATGTATCTCTCTGTATGTATGTGTGTGTGTCAGTCAGGGGGAGAGCTAGAGGCTATGCCACTGACTCCAGGCACCATCTAAATAAAGCTGTTATGGTGCCAGGTGGCCCCCGGAGGCACTCTAACCTTAAAGGTGTAAACTGTTCTCAAACGGTGTAACTCCAAAGTTGTCTCCAGCGGCAAGCTCCATGCTCGCCCAGGCGATAGCCGGCTTCTGAAATTTCACTTTCATGAAGTGCGGAGTGATGCCTTGCAAGGGTGCCACTGATTGCTGATGCTCTCAGCCAATCAGTGAAACCCATTCAAAAAACTGGCTTAGAAAAGGTATGTTTTCCTATCAGAAACATTGGATTGGCTAAGATGATCAATTTTGATAATGATCAGTTCTGATGATGTCAACCAAGGAGGTGGATCAAGCATGGGGACAGCACTGACGGACTTGCGCAGCGGTGGAATAAAGGTGAGTTTGATTACCTTCTAAGGGGGAAACCCACCTAAATGGTGATTCTAACACTATAGGGTCAGAAATACACATTTGTGCTCCTGACACTATGGTGTTCCTTTTATGAACCCAGTATTAAGGAATCTGATGGCATGATTTAAAAAATAATAATTGCCACTCACCTTTTCACAGACCAGTGGTTCTCATCATGTATACTTTACTGTACAGCTTGAATGACTGGTCATCTACCAGTAAGCAGAAGAATTTGTACCACACCTATTACGATATCACAGAATTCTTATGACCTATAATTGTGCACAATTATATTACAGATTTTTTTGACAGTATTGTGCTATGAATATTACTTAAACAAGGAGTACAACCACAAATACATATGAAAAGGTTTTTATTAGATGGGTCCACAGTAATTGGATGTCTCATTAAATATATCAATAAATCAGACAAAGACAAACATTGGCATATGAAAAATATAATGCAATAGCTACGAATTCTGGAATTACATATAAGCAAATGACTAGGTCGGGTATGCTTTTGTTTTTTGTATATAAAATTGTCTATGGGTTTTTATGATTTGGTATCTCATACAGCTATTCTGTATATTGGTATTCAGTAATTCATGTACCATGTAGGTTGCTTATATGTAATTCCAGAATTCGTAGCTATTGCATTATATTTTTCATATGACAATGTTTGTCACTCAAAAAATACTCACTGTTTTCCTGGATAAATTATACCACAAAATAAAACAAGATTTTGATTCAAATCTAATTACTTTGTGCTTAGAACTCGCCCAATTATCTACTAAAGTGTTAGATGAAGCTCAGGTGTTACAAAAAAATTCAAGAGGAAAATAATTTGCTTTCTACAAACAAAATATTGGAAGAAATTATTACTACTCTAGAAAAAAAGCCTGGAAGATGGTTCAAGAAGGAAGAATATAAAAATAAGAGGAGTTCCATAGTCAGTCACGCATGATCAACTTGTTCAATATCATCTCACCCTTTAAAAGAATATCCTTTTGAAAGATTTAATTGTTTATATAAACTAAAAAACATAATCTCAACTTTTTCTAGAGACATTATTGTCAGATTCTCAAATGGCTTTATTAAAAATTTTGTTATGTAAGCCGCACAGAAGACATCTCTTTCAAAATCACAATACAAAGACATTAAGTTATTTCCTAATTTATCATCTGCTACGCGTCAAACCAGAAGAAAATTTAGTGACCTAACAGCAACCTGAGTCTTACTGTTTCCTGTTTCGGCAAGAGAAATTATTCAGACATGGAAATTTAATTAATGTTTTTTTTCCCTTTTCTTCTCTCTTCACCGATATATGTTATATTGATAGTTTAGTTGAAGATGTTTGTATGATTAACTAAATTAATTTAAAATAAGAACAAACAATGAATTTACTCTATTTTACTTTAATTTACCAATACAAATAACACTTGATATTTATGATTTATGGAATTTGTTATATTTATGCACTTTAATACATATATATATTTGTTTCTCTTTTTTCTTGTTCTTTTGATACCATTTAATTTTTTGTGATATGCGTTATTACAATTTACTAATTATAGCCAAAGTAAAGATAAGCATAACTAATTATTTAATTCATTTATGGAACCTAATATTTATGATTTTAAGGTCTAGTAATACACTTGCATTGTTGATGTGTAGATATACGGAATTATAAATGTAAACTGAATTTATGTACAGTTATGCACTTTTATACTTTAAAATGTATTTATTTATCTTTTTTATAATTTTGTTTTCCAAGTCAATTTATATTCTCACCTTTATGTTGGATATAATTTTACATTCAGCATTTTGTATGGTAACTATAAAATACACTTTTGATATAGTTTTATTAGTTTCTATTTGTTTTATGTATGTGTTTATTAATGTTTGTTGCTGTGAAAATATATATGTGAAAACACAGTTAGGGAAAAATGTTTAAATTATGAGTAAAGATGCTCTTTAATTTTCTTTGATATTTGTTTTTTTATTTTTTTATTCTTTGTTTGTACGCAACTCATATGCGAGAAAACCTTGTGAAGAAATACATTTCAAGTAACAAGATTTGGACAAAAATATAGTTGTAGACATCTAAACATAATGTCCTGAAAAAGTAAACCGAGTTTTTATATTTTATACTATTGTAGTACAGCGGGGTGATCAGTCATGTGATCCTCAGTGATTGGCCGTGTGTATGTGAAGCGTAGAGTGATTGACACAGTGTGTTGGTTAGTATATGGGTTCAGAATGAACATTGTAGAGTGCGCTATTGCGGGTTAAGGTCAGTGTGAGTGTCAAATTCTGTGTGCTAAATCTAAATGGGGGTAGAAGTGAGGGACACATTAGAGAACATAACAACAAGTTGAATAACAAGCCCCATATGGGAAAATAGTTTGTTAGAGAAATCTAGCTAGATATAGCCCACACACGGAGGACAATGGTCCGTAACAAAAAGATGTCAGTACCACGGACGCAATTAACAAACTCCCCGCGGCGAAATACGGGACCGATGGATGATTTCATCGCAACGCCGGTGGAGCTGCGTGGCTCTCTCCCCGTCGACAAAATGGCGCCGCCCAATCCAGGCTTGGAGAGCATGGGGGATTCCCTTCCAGGAGGTGACCACACAGGAGCTCTAACCCAAATTAGGGCAGAGCTCACACAGATCTCCCAGCGGATGCTATCTAAAGCAGACAAGGACACCCTGGTGCAGGAGCTACGTGCGGCCTTCAGAGAGGAAGTGGCTGGCCTGCGCACCGACCTGAACACGCTGGAACAGAGGGTGGAGGAGGTGGAGACGGCGGTCCTCGGCTGCGAACAGCAACACAGGGCATCTGAGATAGCGGTGACAAGACAGGGCAATATGCTGATTACCCTCTGCAGGCAAGTAGAGGACTTAGAAAATAGAAGCAGGCGCAACAATATCTGCATACACAGCCTGCCTGAAGGAGACTTTGATTCTTTACAGGTCACGCTGGCTGAATAATTTAAGCAGATTTTAGGGATGGACGCCCCAGAGGACATCAGGCTTGAACGCGCACACAGGGCGCAGGGACCACCGAGACAAGACGGCAGCCCTAGGGATGTGATATGTTGTTTCCACCTATTCAACCTAAAGGAAAAAATCATGCCCGCCGCCAGAGGAACGCCTGCCATCTTGTTCCGCAGTACGGAGGTGACGCTATTTCAAGACCTCTCTAGCCTGACACTCAACGCCAGAAGAGCTCTATGCCCTGTAACCAGCGCCTTAAGGGAATGGAGGATCTCATACCGCTGGGGGTTCCCATTCAGCATACAAGCCAAGCAAGGTAATACATGGGTGACAGCGCGTTGGCCTGAAAAGATACCCAAGCTTCTGAGAACCCTCAATCTACCGATGATCCAGGTCTGGAATTGGATCCTAGAAGAGGCGATAACATCGAGACGGGATCCCCTGGCTCCTCTACGAAGCAATGACACCCCGGCTGGAGGGAGTGCACTGCCACGCAGGGGGGGGGGGCAGATGCGAAGAATAACACAGCATAAAGCCACGTCAGAGTGAGAGGTGACCGGTGAGCTACTATTCACAGGGGACATATGGGCCAAACTTTGATACAGGGGACAGCTTGGCACATCGGGCATAACCTTGGGGTGGGAGAGGGAGAAGGGAGTACATGGGTAGGGACTATGGGAGCAAAGTATGATGTCAGAGCAACAGTGCCGGATGGCGTAAGGTTCCCCCTGCTACCACTGAAAACACGTAGATAACTGTATCCTGAGCTTCTTGACCACTGGCCCATTCCCCTGTACGAGAGGAAATATCAAGGGACTGGAACATCCGATGATGCCACACAAGGGAGGGTGCTTATTGTGCGCTGGGGAGGGGAACGGGTACAAGGAATAGACATGCAACCCATTTCTTGCTTATGGGAAGGAAGATCTGCCCACCTACCAGGGACACACCTGAATAGGGGACATGTAGCCACAATGTTCTTTCCGAACCAGCCACAGGCCTTAGAGAAACGGCGAATAGAGACAACCCTACCAGCACACACCATAGCATAATACAGCAGGCCGAACCAATACCTAAACTAGAGGGCACTACAATGGGGGGCTCATCGGAAAGGTGTGTAATGGGGAAGCTATGGGAGGGGGTGGGGAGGATGGTAGGAAGTGAGAGGGAAGGGCAGGGGAGAGCAGTGGGGGGGATAAAAAACAAAACAATTAGCATATTAAGAACAATCAGAGCCCTCCCTTGGATAGCCTATGACGGCCCCCGGTAGGAATAGCTGACCACCCCAAGGGGCTTCCGGCCCTCTCAACCGACGTCAATCTAAATACTATGACTGACACTACAGCCTACTATGCAGTTCAGGATACCTTCTGCCTCCTGTACCACACTAGCCATCCTGGCCTGGGGGAAGAGGAAGAGGAACATATAGCTCACTCACATACTACATTACCACAGACACATTCTGACTTGGGACCATAAAACCCAACTGAGCTCTTCACGCAGGTGGACCACACAATCTCTGCACCTGGTCCTGTGCAGGTGCGGTCTAGGTCAGGCACCCCCTAGACGGACGCCTATAATGAACTGGTGAGGGGGAGGCTAACACTTCACAGAGTGCACCACACAACGCCCCCGCCATAGGTGTCAAGTCATAGAGGACCCCACAGGTGGGATCCTCCTCAAACCCTATATTTAGGGACCTTTACCCCACTTCTGTAACCTCCTTACCCAGCCCCCCACCTTCTCCCACATGCACCCCTGATCCCCACTCCTCCAAAACAGAGGGCTCGGATCCTCTGGCCCTCTTCCCAGTACAGCTGTCCTTACAACCCACCTCTCCTGGCCGCCAGCAATGGGCTCGGGGTTTGCCCCCGTGCCTCTCCGGTTCTGGTCGAATAATATATGGGGCCTCAACACGCCTGAACGGAGGTCGCACCTGCTGCGCACCCTATGGATGGAGAGAGTGTGCATCGCATTCCTGCAGGAGACCCACTTTCGGGGGGATACGAGCCCACCTATGCGGGATTCGAGATACCCCCATGGATTCTACGCAAACCACCTGACAACCAAAAGTCGCCATACTGCTAGCAAACACAGTACCGTTCGAGTGCACGGGAAAGATGGCTGACACCATGGGATTTTTTCTTTTTCTTAAAGGCACCATAGCAGGCAACACATACATGCTAGCAAGCATCTATGCCCCTAACACCCGCCAGCACAGATTTCTTAAGAAAACACTGAATAATTTAGAACAATTCCGAGAGGGATTACTACTGGTGGTGGGAGACCTGAACGTAGCGCTTGAACCAAGAATGGATACCTCAGCTCTTACCCACGCCGTAGCCTGCAAGACATCAAAGAGACCCTCAGCGGATCAGGCATGGTGGACTGTTGGAAAGCACTACACCCGAGCGATAGAGACTATACCTATTACTCCACAGTCCACAAACGATACAGCAGACTGGACTATATCCTCATGGCACAGGAGCACTTATTTCTGCTCATCTTGGCTCAGTATGACCACCACTCCTTGTTGATGAGCATTGAATGCCCCTTACACTGACCCAGAGAACGCCACTCAAGGATGAACGAGATCCGCTCGGCTCTGATCACATTTTTCGAAGAAAACGAGGACCAGGACATGCCGGCCCTAACTCTATGGGAAGCACACAAGTGCATAGCACATCAAAATGTGTACTCAACGTAAGAAGGAACAACGACAGCGCATGGATGAGCTCACCCAATGGATCTCGGACCTAGAAGAGGCCCATAAGTCCACACAATCCGATGAAGATTACAAGACTCTACTAGAAAGCCAGGAAGAATCTCCGCGATATCCTACATCAGAAATTACAACACACTATACGAAAGTCTCATCGATTTTTCTATGAATGCTCAAATAAATGCAGCCGCCTCTTTGCCCGGATGCTTCAAAAGAAGCGAGGTATGTGCCACATCACCAAACTTAAAACCAAAGATCAGACGACAACCCAAATCCCGGACAAGATTATTGAATCATTTCGGGAATACTACGACACCCTATACAACTTGCCCACCGAGATCCCCCCCTGACTCAACTCAACGCAGGGAACAGCAGATCTCGGAATACCTACAAGAACACATCACCAAAACGCTGAGTCAAGACGCAGCAGCGGAATTAGAGGCTCCCATTTCGATAGAAGAACTCCAGGCAGCGCTGAAGGGCTCCAAGCTCACTAAAGCCCCGGGCCCGGAAGGGCTGCCCATCAAATACATCAAGGAATTTGGAGATGTGCTGCTCCCCAAACTGTTAACAGGCTTAAACTCCCTCCTAGAGGGGGGAGTGTTCCCAAAAGATTTTCTAATGGCAACGATAGCGGTTCTCCCAAAGGAAGGTAAAGGCCCGACCAGCTGCGCCAGCTATAGACCGATATCACTACTAAACGCTGATCTAAAGCTCTTCATGAAGTTACTGGCCATCTGCGTTCTCCCAGAACTGGTGGATCCTGATCAAGTGGGCTTCATCCCCGGACGAGAAGCAAGAGACAACACCATACGTGCTCTCAACGTCATCCATGCGGCCAGAAGTTCGGCCCAGGAGCTCATTTTGCTCTCCACCGACGCAAAAAAAGCTTTTGACCGGGTGGATACCTGATGGCAACGTTACAGGCGATGGGTTTCGGCTCCCTAATGATGACCTGGATATCTTCGCTATACACGATCCCAACAGCAAGAATACGATTCAATGGGGCCCTCTCCACACCAGTCCACATACATAACGGAACGAGACAGGGTTGCCCACTCTCCCCCCTCCTGTTTGCCCTCTCCCTGGAACCGTTCCTGGGGGCGGTCAGACGGGATGGGGGAATAGAGGGGTTTGGACTACAGGGGACAACACACAAGGTGGCCACATATGCGGATGATATGCTATTCTTCATCAGCAACCCCCTGGTCTCCCTGCTGAACCTACTGAGAGCCTTTGCAGAACATGGGCGGATATACAACATGAAACTGAACACAGAAAAGTCAGAAGCCATGCCCATATCAATGGCGGAAATGAGTGTTCCCCACCTGAGATCCCAGTTTGCATTTACCTGGTACCAAACAAAGCTCAAATACCTTGGGATCTGGCTCACCGCAGACCTGTTGCAACTCTACGCCCACAACTTCTCTCCAATGATGCTCACGCTTAAAAACGATCTGGCACGTTGGTCTAGCCTGTGCGTCTTGTGGTTCGGCAGGATGAATGCAATTAAGATGAACCTACTCCCTCGCCTGCTTTACCTTTTACAAACCATCCCGATAAGCATACCTTCAATATTCTTTCAACTCATGGATACCACCATCTCAGGATTCATATGGCAGTCCAGAGCCCCTAGAATCAAGAGAGCACCACTGTGCCAGCCAAAGGACCAGGGGGGAGTGGAACTCTCTATTGACATATTATAGAGCTACGCACTTACACCAAAATGGATACATATGGAGCGAGCTCAGGCAGAGGGACTCATCCATTCATCGGGGCAACGCTGAAGATCTGGTGCCCCATCAGCACCAAACTCTCCTTAACCACAACACCAGGACCACTGACCCCAATTACTTACAATCCCGAAGTGGCAGGAGGTCTCGTCACAGGACATTAAGATGTTCGGGGGATTAGACCAGCAACACATGCAGCAGTGTTGGGCAGCAGATGCGCTGAAACCGCTACCAGAACTCATACCGGACACCCCCCCGACAGGCCTGGAAAGACTTTGTTATTTCCAGATTAAAGCATACTACATGTCTCATAATGGACGGCGCTTGTTCCACAGACCGCTAACACAGTTTGAGGAACTCTGTAGAGCTCGAACGCACATAACCAGAGGCATCTCCATGATATACGCACTACTCCAAGCCACAGCTCGACCCAAACCAGGAAGATATATGACACGCTCGGAGGAAGCTACCGGCGTCACACTCACGGAGACACAGACGCATCCCCTCCGACCCTCTCCCGTCTTCCGACCCTGGTCATGCCCCCACCTCCTTCTCCCCACCCTCCCCCCTTTTTTTCCCCCTTCAGCCAACAAATGCAAAATGGACCTGTGCACCTGCATGGTAACAGTGGCCAAGAGAATGCTCATGGGCCCCCAAACCACAGTTGACAACGAGAACGGCCCCCAAACACACAAACACACAAATGGGTACCTACAAGCTAGTGAGGAGAGGCACAACAGGTCCCATTGCCACCACAACCTACATGGAACCAATTGATGCCACAGACCTGTTACATAAGAGATAGACAGTCCACCTGGGACAGAGGGCATGGCCAGCCAGCCACGACTATGAAGCACTACTTGCCGGTGTTCTTGGACCAGGGACTCTCTCTGGGGACATAGAAGGTTGAGTAGGGGGATGCTTTTGCACACGCATATGACCCCCTAGATCCAAATGATAACAGTGGGAGATTCCCTAGTAAAGGGATACTTACAGAGGTCGCACAGACTCAGGGCGGAAAGCCTATTAAACAACCAGTTGAAACACAGCCTCACACTTCCAGCTATAATGAACCAACAAGTTACTAGCAATAACTCATACACAATAGCACAGTTGAGACTAGATCTCCACCACTAGACCTAATGTTCCGCTGTTCAATGCAAAGCTTGAAATGTAAATCCAGGAAGTTGTTTCTACGTTCTGCTGTGACCCCATGTCAAAACTGTTTTCAATCCTCAACTTTAAAAAAAATGAAAATAAAGATTGCCAAAAAAAAGAGGTGTTTTGCACTGTCATCTGCAATTATGCCAACTGGACCACCAGGAGCCATGGGTGATTTTGGTATCCGAATGTGTGCATCCAGCCCCAACACTTTGGCCTGCTACCCCAAAAGATATTTCTCAATCCTTTGTTGATTATTGCCACTTCTGAAGAAATAGACAACTTTCGGAGAGTTTAGACCTACCTAAGATTTCACTAGAAAAACGTAATAAACTAAATGCCCCTTTTAGAATTTCAGAAACTATTAATACAATTAAAAATCTAAAAACGACTAAAGCTCCAGGCCCAGATGGCTTTACAGCTATATTCTATTTAAAAAAAATATTGTTAATATCATAGCCCCCTGCAAAACAATTTCGGAAATTTCTAATAATAAAACATACCCTGGTGAAATGCTGATTGCTTCTATAATTCTGATGCCTAAGCCAGGGAAAGAGTCAACTTTTACGGTTAACTACAGAGTACAGACCAATTTTTCTAATCAATCGAGATTTTTAATTTTTTTCACAAATTCTCTCTGATAGATTAAAACTGGCTATTTTGGATCTAATTGGGATTGATCAATCAGGTTTTGTCAAGGGGAGAAGCACTATTGATAATATTCAAAGGATTCTTAATTAAACATTTTTAATTAATTCTTCTAAATCTAGCTCCATTATTCTTGCCTTACATGCCGATAAGGCATTCGATACGGTTAACTGGAGATTTCTGGATTCTATAATAGAAAAATTCGGCATACTTTTAAAGATAAAATTATGATGATATATTTAAACACAGGTGCAAAAATCATTTTTGGAATCAATGTTATTTCCAATTAAGAACAGAACTAGACAAGGAGGCCTGTTGGCTCCTTTACTAACCTTTAGTGATGTTTTTTTTTTTTTTTTTAAACACAGTGATTCAGGGTTTGAACAAGTGTAAAATATCTTTATTTGGTGATGTGCTTCTGACCTTGACAAACCCTTTGATTTCCAATGTTCTGAATGTTCTAGAACTTTTTGGTAAATTTTCAAACTATAATTAATATAAGTATTAATATTTTTTAAAATTAAAATTCAGATTTTAGCATCAAATGTAACACTAAACGAAATCGATGCTCTCAGATATTATTATCATGTTGATTGGAAAAGAGAATACATTGACTATCTAGAAATTAAGGTCTCTTTTAATATACCTAGTTTCTTGCAACATAATTATGAAGAACTATATAAAATATTCCAAAAACAACAAACTCATTAGAGAAAAATTGAGACTTCAAGTTTGGGGCATTTGAATATAATGAAAGCCTACTTAATACCTAAACTACACGGAACAAAATTATAAACGCAACACTTTTGTTTTTGCATCCATTTTTCATGAGCTGAACTCAAAGATCAAAACCTTTTTGTATGT